GAGCTTTGTGGGTGAGCAGAATGATTTTGAATTTAATTCGCTCGGAGACTGGAAGCCAGTGCAGGTCGAATAAAATAGGGGTTATGCGGTCAAATTTACGGGAGCTTGTAATAAGTCGAGCCGCGGCGTTCTGCACTGATTGGAGCTTTCTTATAACATATTTCGGAACACCATATAGAAGAGAGTTGCAGTGATCCAACTTGGAGGTTACAAAGGCGTGGAATAAAGTCTCAGTGGTCTTATTGGATAGTAATTTCCTTATACGGGAAATGTTCGGAAGATGATAGAAGGCAGAAATGAAATCGCATGTCATGGTAACGTAAAATGTCAGCAAGTGGAGCAGTGTAGGGTAGGTAGAGGATGGGCCCAAGGACAGAGCACTGAGGTACTCCACATTTGAGCTTTCGAGACTGCGACTTCCTCCCATTGTTTAAGACAACTTGTGTGCGGTTAGTAAGATAAGAGCGGAACCAATCAAGTGCAGTCCCACATATCGAGAATTTAGAGTTCAATCTTTTGAGCAGTATTCCATGGTCAACAGTGTCAAATGCAGCCGAGAGATCTAGTAGCAGGAGCATGACACAGTACGTGGCGATTGTCAATAGCAAGCAAAATATCATTTTGAACACGTACAAGGGCGGTTTCACAGCTATGAAATGATTTGTAGGTTGAATGTAGCGGCTCTGTGAGTTGGTAAGAGTCAAGATAGACTTGAAGAGGCGCTGCTACAACCTTCTCAATAGCTTTCGAGATAACCTTGAGGTTCGAGATAGGCCTAAAATTACTAAGAACTTCGTGATCTAGGTTCGGTTTCTTGAGTAGAGGGGCTAAGACAGCGTTTTTAAGGGACGAAGGTAAAAGACCAGATACCAGCGACAAGTTTACAATGCTACAGATCGATGTTAAGAGGAGGTCAAAGTGTTCTTTAAGTAACGTGGCAGGTGGAGGATCCAGACAGCATGATTTCTACACAACAGAACGAGCAATCTTCGATAGTTCGGAATTGGAAGTGGGTGAGAAGTTGCTGAGCTCACAATTAGTGGTGGAAATATCAATCGGCGGCTTTTGACACCATTGACCATGTGATCCTGGTGGAAAGACTCGTATCCTACTTTGGTTTCTCACAACTGACTTTGAACTGGTTTAGATCATACCTTGAAAACCGTCGTCAATCAATAATTATTAGAGATCAAGTGTCCACTCCTCGCACTCTTTGTTATGATGTCCCACAAGGTTCCATACCTGGACCCCTACTTTTCACCCTGTATATTGCCCCTTTTAGACTAGTTGTGCTTTCACTGTTAATCCTTTGAGGCTCAGATTTTTGCTGCGGAGAAGTTCTTTAAGTTCATTTACAAGCATCTTCTCCACAGGTCTCTCCATGCCTTACGTTGAAAAGAAGCTAAGACAGAAAACATACAGTAAAACTTGGTGCGGCATTTTATTAAATGAGAAGACAATCGAACGTTCATAACAAAGCAGGATTCAAGACGTACCTCCCAGACTGTAACTTCCGTTAAAAGTCTAGAATTATTTTACTTTGATGGTACTGTCTTCCAATTACTCATCTCTGATAAAAGAACACAGGATGTAGGCCTAGGCCTAAAGAAAGCATAATCTAACCTGGTATTAGCTGGCACGAAGTACTTGAAAACAGACGCCCAGCCAGCCCTTAGCAACAGTGTTGCTACCGAGAAGCCTCGCTTTGGAGCTATCTTCGCAATATTTGCAAACGGTGTATCGTAGTTGCCCCTGATAATACGAATAATGACTAACTCTATTCTAAAAAACTTTTTGAGAAAACTCTGCTCAGGCGATAACGTAATTCCCTAACGATACTATACTACAAAGTGCTATCATGAGTGTCATTTGCAGATTACACGCAGTTTAATTTGCTGCCTCACCTTCTACAATCTAACTTTTACACATGATGACACAAGCTACTTTCATAGCTATCCCTCGGCACAGTTTTTGAACCTAACAGTTCTTATGCATGCGCAGTATGTGTTGGTCAAAATCTTGATCTTTTACAGCACAGTGGTCAAATTCTCAAAGGAAGCAGGACCTGCAGGAGAAGCTGTTTCCTCCACATTGGCGTAAAGGCTGGGCTCATACTTTGACATATCCACATAGTGCTGAAAAATGAAATTAAAAAGATCCGATAATGCAGCATTGAAAAGATGTAAGTAGGTGGTGGAAAGATTAAATGAGTTGGCATGGAAAGACAAGCGAAGCTGAATAACTTGCGTCATGCGTTTTCTTTGTCTAGGTAACATTTGGCAAATATCCTATACCTCTTCCTGCAAATATCCGGTCGTTACTTCATGAAGAAGATCGAAAGTGGGTCGTGCGTCGGGATCTTCGTTCCAGCAATCCACCATGAGCTGGTATCTACAGATAAGAAGAATAAAAGAAAGACAACAAAACCAAAAAACTTATTGTTGATAGGGGTAGTTTCATCATCTCTATGACTGGTTCTTTTTTTTTTTTAGAGAAACTCGACTGTAGGATAGCTAAAATGACTTTACATATAATTCCTTTCTTGCCTGTTATAGAGTTAAATCAAAAATCAAGAGCAAATCACGAGTCCTACAAGACTAGTAAATTCTCACTTACAGTTCTTCGCTAACATGTTCTGGTTGAGGCATACGATACTTGTTCACTTTGAGTTCATATACAACTTTCCATTCGTTCCACCCTGGGTAAGGCACGCCTCCTATTGAGAGCAATGGTATCACGTTCGATACATTTGGATGGGAAACCAGGAAACTGGGTTAAGTGTACAAAATCGAGGTTCATCGGTAATGATGTTATACGGGTTACACAGGACGACTCACAACTCTAGCTAGAAGTCTCGATTTCATGCACTGGACCCAGTTTTCGTGATGCACGTCCAAATGTCACGAAAAGAAGTAAAAGGCGGATGATACTTTTCACTATTTGGAAATCTGGACCAATTTTACAATCTCAATATTGCATTTGCTAAATCGAACACCTAACATTAAGGGGTATATCACTCACCGAGAGTAAATATTTCAAACAGGACAATACCGTATGACCACCTATTTTACAAAGAAAAATAAGAAAATGTTTCAAACAGAACAATGCCGTTTACCACCAGCTGTACAAAGAAAAATAGGAAAGCCTTGAGAAAGCTCGGCTAAAGGAGCTCAAGGAAAAGTTTCAGTTTCATTAAGAGAAAAATCTTTAGTTAGTTTACTCACACGTCACTTTTCTCCGACACTCTAAGGTTTTTTTCGTCAGAAACATTGAAAAGATGCTCAGGAGCGGTCCATTTGATAGGAAGGCGACCCTATGAATTGGGAATGATAATTAAATAGACGAGGCAAAATGAGAAAGACGCCGCAAGCAAAAAAACACTACAACAGTGGCTTGCACAATTAAATATCAGCTCGAGTTTTTGTTTCCGTATTTCTTCATGAAAAGCATTTAAAGTCGCCCATTCAGAAAAGTTTAAAATGTTACAAGTACAGTTACCTTTCTGATAGCAGTGCAGTAAAGATACTGTTGATATCTCTCCCTTATCAGGGCCAGTCCAAAGTCGCAAATTTTACAAATCCTGCCTGCTCCCAACAGGACGTTTCTTGCCGGGAGATCACGATGGAGGATCTGAAAATTATAAAAAATAGACAAGAAGTACTTTGAGCGGAAATGCATTGGCAACGCAAAGCTGATATAGCACTTCTCTACCGAGTGCTAATAAACCATAGTAACTACAACCGATTGGCCACAAAAGGGAAGAATGCATCAAACAGTCTGAGAATCCAAAGTACTATTTTGTCTTAGGAAGGTGATGAGACATTTTTAAGAGACCAAGTGCGAATCGTTGGAAAAATCAAGTGAAATTTCTAGCTGTCTTCGGAGAAGAATCAATTGCTTCATTTAAGTGCTTGCGTGAGAATATAGCTAGTCACGTGTCTCGCAGTATAGTGTAAGACATATGTGCTCACCGCTTCCACTATATTATCCAGTTTTTATTTGTTCTTTTTGTTGTTGTTGTTGTTGCTGTTTTGTTATCATCATCTTAAAGCAAAAACTGTTACATATTCTGATTCTTTCCTTGCTTACACTGGATCTATATATGACTTTAATGCCATTTTCGAATACATCTGAATCAGACATTTCCTAACATTAAAGCAAATGTATACTTTCTTTGATGTCAGGAACCTCATCCCGGAAGCTATCTGTTGTGCAAAACTAAGCAGATCATATGAAGTCACTTCTTGCTGGCAACACTCTGGGGAACAATAGAACTGATCTTCCACTCCCCTGCTTTTCCGGAGGTAGCCAAGCACATCCCCGTATGGAGCATATTCCAAAACCAACATCATGGGGGCTGTAATACAATAACGATACTAGTTAATGTGCGATTAAAAAGAGTAACTATGAAATGATCATGAAGGAATGAAAATGAAAGAAACAAGGGTGACAAATAAACGATCGAATAAATAAATGAATAGATAGGTGGAAGAAAAAAAAGGGAATGCAATGATGAATTGAGAAATTAATCAAAGAAAGAAAAGCACAAAGAGGAGTGAAATACAGCGCGTTTTGGTTTGATCTTATTTTTATTTTCTGCTTCCAAACCTTTTCGCTGAAGGGAGGGGGCTGCAGGATTTAGGCGGTATCGCGATGTAACAGTCGATTTTCCATAGTCCCCCTTTATACTCTGTTAGCAACAAATGACCCCCCCTCCTTTCCCTCCGAATATCATGTTCTCCACCCTCTCCCCCCAGGCGGTAAATAACGTCTGGTTTTTAAGAATAAGATGTGATTCGACAATTCAAATTACTTTAGAAATTCACCACTTAGACACTTACTGCATGTGGAAACACACGCCAAAAAATTAACGATATTGGGATGTTTGTCTCCATCTAACGATTTTCCCAATTCAATTTCTTGTGCCAACGATTCCTGTTCGTGGTCAGAACAGTTACCTGTTTTCGCAGTGTGCAGACAAAGAAGAAGATAAGTAGGTAAAAAATACTCCACCGGTCTATACTAAATGCTTGAGTTGGACATTCACAATAGCTGTTCCTTCACATTTTCGTTAAAAATCTGGCAGAAACTAATGGCGGAGATCTGTTTTGAAAGACGTCACTTGTAACTTTGTAAATTTAATGCAAGCATATGATATATTGTCAAGAAATTATTTTAAATTATGGTTTATACACTTTTAAGATAAAAAGATCTTTATTTTTTTAAATACATATATTTAAGTATAATTAAAAATAATGAAAATTCGAGATTCTTATAGACTCGAGTTCGTTCCTTAACTAGAAGTAAATCAAACGTATATTAATCATTTCAGTGTATATTTTCCACTGTTTAACACCTTGCCTACACGTAATCAGTTTAGGCCTTAGTTACGTTTTAGTTTCTTGACGGCCACTGTAGTCTCTTCAGGGTGTCCTTGCATTTCGTAGACCACAACTTTCCAAACCTCTCCAAATGCCCCAGTCCCCAGTATGCTTTGGAGGTGAATTTGTTTCGGAGCGATTTCCCAGCGAGAGGCAATAACGGAGAGGTATCGTGTGTCTGCGTCACTAAGTAAAAAGGAATAACTGGATAAGTTCTAATAGCTTAAGTTGCTTTTATTGGTCGGGATTAAGTCTCGGTTAGGCCTGTCCCGATTGTGCTCGTAAAATACTGGAAAGTTGCTCACTGGATTGTGGCCAAATAGTTGCTTAAAGATGGCTAAATCACCAAAAAATTGCTCTCTAAATTTCAAAAGTGGCTCCAAATTTTTTTGATATGTTTAAATAAACGTTAATTAAAAGCTGTACTTTTCGTTCTTCTCAATAATAAACTTAGCTTTAAAGAGTTGCTCGCAAATAGAGGCGACTTCTCACCATGGAAAGTACATTGAACAAAGACAGCCATTTCTGTGCGTCGTTTTAGCTGATTATCCGTTCTACTATTAGAAAATAGGCCTGCGAAACATTCCAGACATTTAAATTGAACTTTCTGTCTCTCCATTCTAATGAATTGTTCTTTCCTATTTATTTGACGATGCTTCTGTAAAAAAAAAAAACTCATACAATAATTTAAGATAAATTATTAGATTGATTAGTGATATTAAAAAACAAAGTGCTGTTCCTTATTATTAACAAACATAAACTCGTATGATGCACGATCCTCGCAGTAGAAAGCGCTATTTATGTAATAGCGAAAATCAGACCTGAAAGAAATCAGGCCTGAACGGGATTCGAACCACTGACCTCTGCGATACTAGTGCAGCGCTCTACCAATTGAGCTAACAAGCCAACTGGGAGCAGGCCGTTAAGTTGATTCGTAATAAACCCGTGATGATAAATTAGATACAATGAATATATGAAGTTCATATATTTTGAACTGCACTAGTATCGCAGAGGTCAGTGGTTCGAATCTACAACCGCAGTTCAAACTAACATCTACAACCGCAGTTCAAAATATATGAACTTCATATATTCATTGTAACCAAACATAACTTCTCGTCACCTGTTACCTTATTTGGTAACTTTACAAATTGTGACTATACCTTTGTAAAGTGAAATTCTCCAAACGATCAACGTTTCTTAGAGCTAAAAACGAAATAGGAAATACGTTAACCGCTTTGATTAAACAATTTTAAGAAGGAAATATCATGCAAGAAAACACAGAATTGGCTCAGGAATTATTTCCAGTAACATCTAGTTGATACCAATTCTTCAAGTACTGCCACTTCTTTTAGTACTATTGTTCTGGATACCAGAACAGTTCAATAACCTGGAGGAAGTCGTGAAAGAAATTAATTTGTTTTGAGCTCAAAACATAACAAAACCAAAAATGACGGATGCAGGAAAAAGAGAGTCCGCAGTCCTCAGCGGCAAAACGACAAAAGGGCGGGAAAACAAGAGGTATTTGTACAAATCCTTCTATAACAACAACTGCTACCACTACCATTGCTACTGTTGCTGCTGCTACTACTACTGATACTACTACTGCAACAGGTTTCCCAGATCAAACTTTGCATAACAAACTGGTTTCATCAAATAAGTTGATAATGTGAATTAGAGCGACGAAGGGATAAAACTCGAAACCATACCTGAAACTCGTCACTTGTAGTAGACAAAGCAGACAAGGATGCCGAGACACAGAAAACCGGATACAAAACTCAGAACGATTAATGAAACGGTATCTCCACCATTTTCTACGTTCTTTTTCTTTCCACGTTCTATAATCATATGTAAGATAGCACAAGTGTTAAACGAAAAGGTCGGCACACGAGTGAAGATTAAATGGCCTATCATTTTA